GTCCCTGTGCTTTGCCAAGCTTGTTCCAAGTAGGTGCTTTAGACCACTGAGCCATCTCTCCAGCCCCATTTCTTTTTCTTTTAATTTAGGCTTGTTTATTTGTAGTGCTGGGAAATCAAACCCAGGGCCTTGTGTGTGTAAGGCAAGAACTCTGCCACTGAGCCACATCCTCAGCCCCCAAGGTTTTCTTACATTAAAAAGAAAAGCTGTCCACAATCACACATGCTCGTAATCCCAGCACTGGGGAGGCTGGGGCAGGAAGATTGCCACAAATTTGAGGCCATCCTAAGTTTACAGAGTGAGTTCAAGGCCAGCCTGAACTCCTGTCTTAAAAATATAATAAAATAAAAATCTCCTAGATTTTTTCACAGTTTTCTCATGTCCCATTTTAAATTTATTTATTTATTTATTTATTGTGTATGTGGGGGGCAGCTCAGCCCACCAGGGGGCGGGGCTGGCTGGCATGTGGTGCTGGGGGATCGAACCGTGGTCCTTGTGCTTTGCCAAGCTTGTTCCAAATAGGTGCTTTAGACCACTGAGCCATCTCGCCAGCCCTCATGTCCCATTTTAAACTGTCTCTTTCTTCCTTCTGTCAGGTCATCTTGACATTGAAATCACTAGGCTGTTGGGAATGTTAGCTTTCCTATTTTACATTTGGTTTATCCTCAAGAAATGAAGCCTTACTAATAGAGGCATCTCATAGTCTCTGAATCAGAGCTGTCTGGCAGCAGTGAGGCCAGCTTGAAAGCTATTAAATTAGTCTTTGGGGGGGGGGCTGACTCAGCCTGCCCTGGGGGTGGGGCTGGCCCAGCATGCTTTGTATTGAAACTCAGTCCCATGCACTTACCTAAGCAGGTGCTTTTAGACTGCTGAGTTATCTCGCCGGCCCTATTAGTCACTTTTGAAAGAGATTTTTCTTTCTTATGTGTCACTGGACATTGTAAAATGGAACTTATGTATGGTTTTAAAGCATGTATCTTACAATTTTTTTTTTTTGCGGAACTGGGGATTGAACTCAGGCCCTTGCACTTGCCAGGGAAGCACTTATTCCACTGAGCCAGCTCTCCAGCCCCGTATCTTATAATTTAGATAAATCTTTTTTCAGAATACTAAGTTAAAATGTCTGTCTTCAGTAGAAAATGGAGAGACTGAAATGTCCCCAGAAGAATCATGGGAGCACAAAGAAGAAATAAGTGAAGCAGAGCTGGGGGTTGGTTCTTTGGGAGATGGAAGGCCACCTGAGGAAAGTGCCCAAGAAATGATGGAGGAAGAAGAGGAAATACCTAAGCCTAAATCCGTGGCTGCCCCACCAGGTGCCCCGAAAAAAGAACATGTAAATGTAGTATTCATTGGGCATGTAGGTAAGTATCACCATAGTATTTATAAGAAACTTACTGGATATGACATCTTATTCAGCTATTGAACTACCTAGAATGCTTTGCTTTTATATTTTTTTGGTGCACGGGATAGGAGGTAGTGGTAGAATTTGAGCACAGGGCCTCACACATGCTAAATTACCTTGATTATTATTTTTAAAAGCTTTCTAGAGTTTATTTTAAGTTGGTAAAACAGTTCAAGCACTTTAGTGTTCAAAGTTTGACTTGGTCTCCGCTAGCCCCATTGGATGCACTGAGCCAGCCACAGAGGCCTGGGTGTGGTGACGCAAGCCTGTAATCCCAGTGCTGAGAAGGCTAAAAACAGGATCACTATGAGTCCTAGCTGCATAATGAGACCCTGTACCAAATATATTACAGAAAAGAAAATTTGGGCAGGTAAACAATTTGCAAATAATTTGGCACAATAAATTACATTTGTGGGGCCGGAGAGATGGCTCAGTAGGATAAGCGCTTGACTGGCAAACGCAAGGATCTGAGTTCAATCCCCAGTTCCGCAAAAAAAAAAAAAAAATTACATTTGTATGTAATGTATAATTAATCTCTAGGTACTAGTCAGGACATGGCATACTATGACCTATTAAAATCTAGGAAATACACTACTTTTAGGTGAATTTTAGTTACATTTTGTGGAATTTTAACACTAGTTAAATTTTATGTGAAGTAAGTTCATAATTTGGAGTGTTTCTGGGTACTTGGCACATTGTTGGTTTAGCAAAACATTAACAGAAATCAGATGTTCTGTAGTTATCTGACATATCCATGACAAGAAAATACAGAATTCTGTGCCCTTTTTCATTTATGTCTGCCTTCCCATAATAGGAAACACTAAATTCCTTTTCTTTTCTTTTTTTTTTTTTTGGCGGAACCAGGGACTGAACTCAGGCCCTTGCGCTTGCCAAGGAAGCGCTTATTCCACTGAGCCATCTCTCCAGCCCCTCAAATCTTTTTCTTGGAAGAAAAAAACTCCTTTGAAGTTTGTAAAAGAACATAACATGTTTGAGAGAGACAGACAGACTAATGAAGTTCTCCGTTCTTTAGCTGCTGTGCTGGTAGCTGAAGGTTGGGGAACAATCTTCAAAAATTCTACAAATTCTCTTTCCTTATCAGTAAAGTGTATTTCTAAGTCATTACTGCTTTGTAGCAAGTCTTAGCCATATATTCCAAGGAAGAAGGTAACTGATTTTATTCCCCACATTTTTATTACAGTTCAGTTGCTTTTGTAAGCCCTACTTATACATGTTACAAGTAACTGTAGTTATATTATAGTTGGATATGTAGTATTTTTTTAACCTGTAATTTCTATATTATTGTTATTTTTTAGATGCAGGCAAGTCAACCATTGGAGGACAAATAATGTGAGTCTGTGTCTTTTCTTAAATATTATTAATTTGCTTGAGCAAATGTCAAGCATTGTAAACATTCATATGCTACAAAAGAGAGAAAATAGGTCAGATCAGGTTAAGAAAAGTTAAACTACCTTTATAGAAGGCTGATACTAAATTTTTCAATGTGATCATTGTTAGTAATTTAATCATACCAGGCCTAAATGGAACATTGCCTAAAAGTGCTTCTGAAAACAGTCTTTTTAGGTGGTTTTTTTTTTTTTTTTTGTGGAATTGGGGATTGAACTCAGGCCTTTGTGCTTGCCAGGGAAGCACTTATTCTACTGAGCCATCTCCCCGGCCCCTAGTTTTTTATCAAAACTAACACAAAACCCTCGATTACAAGAAATCTTAGCCTAATTTGAGTACACAGATGGTCCTTAACACAATGATGCAAAAGCAATATGATTCAGTAGAAACAGTACTTCAAACTTCATGACCTTTTATATTTTCCCAGTTATTATAATATGGTGCTGGGTACTAAAGTAGCATCACGCTGTAGCTCCCAGTACGTGATTACTGGGGTAAACAAGCAGTATATGCTTTTTCCACCTAATTTTTCCATGACTTTCACATTACAACTGATAATTAAAAATATTTCTGCTAGATTTGAAGTTTCCCTCAAAAGCTTTAGAATTTTATTAATTTGTGAGTAATAGTTTTTTATCTTGAACTGTTTTCAGGTATCTGACTGGAATGGTTGACAAAAGGACACTTGAAAAATATGAAAGAGAAGCTAAGGAAAAAAACAGAGAAACTTGGTAATATTTCATGAGACTGTAAATTACTTTTTAAGGAAATACCTGCCTACTGAATGGTTCTGTAACCCTATTAAAATATAAATTCTTAGCTGAAAGCAGTGGTGCGTGTACCTGCTAGTCCCAGTTACTCAGGAGGTGACTGAGGTGAGAGGATCATTTGGACCCAGGAAATTGAGGCCAGCCTAGGCAACATAGTGAGGCTCTCAATTAAAAAACAACACACAAGTTCTTGAGTTGTAAACTGGTGTCATAATAAAGGCAGGATTTCTCTTCCCATCATAATACACGGTAGATCCATTCCTAATGACTTCATAAGTTACATACAGGAAACTTGGATACCATTCAAACATCTAGTAGTACAAGATTTGTTAAATGATAAACTGACCATTTAATTAGGTCATTAATAACCACTAAACAATTAATTTTGTAAAGTTTGTGTTAAACAGGAATAGAATTTATGTTGTGACATTTGGAGAGAAAGTGGGAAATAACTGCATAGGATACAAGATCATAATATAAGAACTGGCAAGCAAAAAAGAATAGAGGGTATTATTGACATTGGTTACTATCAATGCATTGCCTTTATTCCTACTTTATAATAATTATGCTGTTAATATAATTATTACTTATTACTTTCAGTTTTAAGAAAAATTAGCTGGGAATGTAGCTTAAGTGTTAAGACAGTTTGCCTACTATGCCTGAGGCCTGGGATTTGAACCACAGCGTTTTTTAAAAAAAAAGGGTGGTGGTGGTGGATGAGTTTGGTCATTCAAAAATATTTGTGTTATTGTGTATTAAAGGGAAAATATTCTTTTTTTGTTTGTTTGTTTTTTGGCAGAACCGGGGATTGAACTCAGGCCCTTGTGCTTGCCAGGGAAGCGCTTATTCCACTGAGCCATCTCCCCGCCCCTAAAGGGAAAATATTCTAATCAGTCTTAGGTTAAAAGGGCATATGGTATGAAATTTAGAACATGAAGTAATCTAAATGTCTGTTATAGTTTGGAATTAGGTAAAACAATTAAAATAATTTCTATAAATCGTACATAGTATATACTGTAAGTATATAATTTTTACATGGACAATTAATGCTAAATTATTTTTAGCAAGTAATTAGTGCTCCCACATGATAGACTACTTTCCTCTCCTTTTTTTTTTTTTTTTTTTTTTTTCTGGCTGGGGATTGAACTCAGAACCCTGGGCTTGCCGGGCAAGCACTTATTCTACCGAGCTGTTTCTCCGGGCTCAGGATCCTCTACTTTTAAAAATTA